TGGTCGCCATGATTCAAAGCTGAGGAGTCAGGAGCCAGTGCTCTTTTCCATCCTACCTTTCCTTTTGTTGCCAACACTTTGGGCAATAGTAATTAAATACTACGTTTTAGAAGTGTTCTCAGGAAGAGTTTTATGGCCCAGACATGATACTTCTGCAGTTTGGGCTGAGACACACGGTATCATTGGACTAATCTCATGGGTGTGAATCCAGAGTAATTGCATCCCTGTCAAATCTATACAGGCACAGGAGGGATCAGAAGTTGGCGCTCCGCGGCTCAGTTGTGCCTCAGCGACTTCAGCTCGTTTGCCAGCAGGCTGAGGGTATAGTTTTGCAGCGCGTTGGCTTTGGCAGGGAGCTCAGCCTAAGAAGGTCCGGTTTCCTGCGCTTTTGCTGCGCCGCCCCCTCACTTGGGCTGCCACAACTGCTCATGCTCTTCTGCTGTAAGAGCATCAAGTTCAGCAGATTATTTTCAGTCTGGGTCGCTGCAGTGACTTAGCTCGCGGCGCAACCTCACAGAAAGGTGTAGGGACACAACAGGAGTGCCGCAATGGCCCCTGAGCGCAGCAGGTCGCAGGAAGGTGCAGGAGACCTCAGTGTATCCCAAGAGCTCCCCATGAGCTTTCAGTGGGTTCCCAAAGTAACACAAGAAAAGCGTGTTGTGCTGAACAGCCATGAAACTACTTTGAATCAGCTGATGGCTGACCATTTCTCCAGTAAACAAGCTGCATAAAGTATATCCTGAAGTGCCTTTTCAGTCCGCAGCATTAGGGTGAAGACGACCTTCTTTTAATGAAGTAATTGTTATTTAATAGTTTTTATCAGTGTCAGGGGAATTCCGGGCCTCACTTATACTACAAAAGCTTGGTGGTATAGCAACAATGGCATGGTTTGATCGGTAAGTGTTCCTCGGGGAGGTACGGTGTATGGCAGTTTCCCAAAACCACAATAAACTACCTGGCACAAGTATTCCTTTGTCTTCCCTCCCTTCCCAGTGTATAAAGGCTTTTGGCCACCGTAGTTATGTCAGCTAAGGGTGTGATATTTTTTCTCACTCCTAATTGACACATTCGCGCCAGCAAAACTTCACAAGTAGCCCAACCTCAGGTGGGTTTTTTTTTGTTTGGGTTTTGATTGTTTTGGGGTTTTTTTTCAGCCGGTATCACTATGGTAGATGGAGAATTTGTCTTTGCTTGTTCAGGCCAGGATATTTAGCCAAACCTGCCTTTCTGAGGAAAATCAGTCCCTGCTCCTTCTAGGAAAGCCTCTGTTTCTTGCTAAACAATTTGTTCTACAGCTGTTTAAATCTGAGGTGGAAAGTAATACAGATGAATGTTAGGGGGTTTTGTTTAGTTTTGTTTGCCTTTCAGTTGGTAATTCAGCAGCATCTCTGACTGTAGCAACCATGTAAAATTGTCTGGTAGTAATGCTGCTTTTTCGTCTGAATTTATGTCTGTGTCACTTGTCAACCTGAACACCTCACATGGAGACGCAAACTGAACGGTTCAGATTTATCATATCCCCACTTTATTGGTGGGACAATAGAGGAAGGTAGAAAAGGGCTAATTAGTTTATTCACATGTCCTTAGTTTGTAACAATTTTAGATTTGTTTCTGGTCTAAACCTTGTGCCTTGATTCCATAATTTCCTTCCATTCCCTGATTCTGGGTTCTTCAAGATCGGCAAACGGCTGTAGGAGCATAGGACCACTACGTGCACTGCAGCCAGAGAGCACTGCTTGTAGCTGGTACTGCAACCAGTGGGACAGCAAAGGTTTGGGACCACGGTTTTGGAGCAGAAAACATTTATTCTGTGGGATTCTTGGTAGCAACCTTGGCACTGGTGCTTATCCAGAAACTGGGACTGCTGTGCTAGCTTCATCTAAACCAAAATGTATCTGAAATTAAACCTCTCTTAGGATGCATGGCTGGTTTGAGGGTCAAATGATGCCAGAGGACTTGGAAGCAGGATAGAAGGCGTTTTTCACCTGTTACTGCTATTGGCAGACAGACAGCATACCTGACAGCCTCCTGAGCTCTTGCAGCTCATAAGGATACTTTATCCTTATCAGACACCTACTTGCTTTTTTGTTCTTTTTTATAACCTGTCAGCAAAGAGATGACTGCTTGGATTTTCTCGCTGTTCTCTCTTCTTCCCCACCCTGGAGAAGCCTAACTGCTATCAGTTAATCATTCTCGCGTAGGTATAAAACTCTGGAGTTGGTTTAGCCTGAGAAACTCTCATACCGAGTAGGCAGTGATTCAGAGAAAAGCGGTGCGGGAAACTGTTTAACCAAGGAACCATGCAAATGTTTCCACAGGCCGTTGATAAGTGCATTTCTGGTTACTTAACCTGCTCAGGCATTGCCCTGGCAGTGTCGTGGACTGTTGCACTGGTACACCATGGGAGTGTGTTTGTAGGAGTCTACTCAATGATGCGGAAAACAAGACAATTATTTTAACCTGTACCGGGTGGCTTAAAGGCAGAGCAGGCTTACTGTGTTTTAAAAACTCAGGTTTCCTTTCTGGGTAGTGATGTAAACAAGTATCAATAGCAGGCAAAGTACGTCCTTGGATCATGGAAGTGTATCCATTGCACCTTTTTCCGTTTCTAATGCCTGAGGTGACACCCAAAGGTCACTTGCTGACCTGGTCACCAGCGTTAGTAGAATTTCTGCAGTACTGGAATTGGATGCATTTGTCTCCATTTTAAATCCGTTATCTGATGGACTCATTTTTCATTAAGTCGAGCAAGATACTTCCTGAAGAACTGTATACGGAGTCTGTGAAATGATTCAAATGAATACATACGTATTAGTAATTGTCTGTTTATTTGACTGCTGTAAAAGCATCTGTCTTGGGTCTGTCCCCTCCAATAGCATTATCACAGGAGCCCGAGGGTGCGAACCCTTTGAAATTCCACACAGGTCAGGATGAGACTCGGTCTCCATTTATGCTTGAGCGGGGCTAATAAGAGATGATAAATGAGCCGTTGCTTTACTGTGATGATGGATACAACCAAAATCTATCCTAACTTTGTTTGGCATGTCAGCACAATCTGTTCATTTATTGTGTGTAATTAAAAAACCCCGTCAGACTGAGAACATCCCTTTAACTAAAGCCCCCGTAGCCACAGTTTGTCACGCTCAATGCTTCTGCGTTTCAGTAAATGATTTGGGTTTGGTTGTTGAGAATGCAGACATGGGGTTTTGTTGGAGATTTTAGGATTTCAGGTATTCAAATGTATTTGGCTGCTGCAGATCAGTGTGGTGTCACGCTGCTAAAAGGGACTTTATCCAAAAGTAGAACTCTACGCGCATGGATAGAAATATGTTCAGGTCATTGGAATCAGGTTTATTATAAACAGAGGGACTGCATCGATACCTGGTAAAAGAGAAGGAAAAATACTCAGCTGTTTAAAGGGATTAAAACATCATGAAGCATAGCGTGGCATAACCTTCTTCTTGGGAGAAGGTTCTTCATGTTGTCTGGTGAAAGAATACCCTGTCTGCCTGTATGAAGCATTACTGCATAAATCTCTCTTTTTGCCGAGCCCCAACTTCCAAAGCCGCTCGCAGAATTTCGGGCTGTACGTGTTACCGAGCAGTAGTGACACTGAAGAGACGCACCTTTGTCAGCAGGGGTCTTCGTTGCTTTTGTTGTTTGTTCAAAATAGCGTTTCTCTGCTGAAATTTGATTACAGTACTTACGGTTTTAATGCAGGTGAAATACACGGTTGTCTTTCCTCTCTGGGATCTGAGACAGGAGCAGGGGAGAGCGATTGCTGGCATTGCCTTGCGGTGCTGCAGGAGCCTTTACAACTTCCTGGAGCTGTAAAGGCTTCCCCACAAAGGACAGCCTTTTATACCTAGTGATTTGTTCTTTTCAATAGAGCTCTTCTGTTGAAGTTAAACTGCTTTTAAATCATGTATACAATGGCACTTTTGTTGGGGAGGCTGGAGCCCTTTTGCTTTCAGAGTGGGCCTCAGGAAGAAAAGTTGACATTCAAGGGTATTGTTCTGCTTCCCATTCAAACCCGTGCGCAGCCTCTCCTCCCGATTTGCTTGAGTTTATTTGTGTCACCCACTTCTGCCCTGTGTTACTCTCCATTTCCTTCAGCTGTGGATTACGCTCCTTAGCGGGACCGGATGGTTTTAACGGAGTGACCGATTTCACCAGCTTAACGCAGAGACCGTGCGGCATCGTGTAGAGAAACGGAGCAGGAGGTTTGGAGGGATGGCTCCTGAGCTATGTTCTCGTCTCTTTGCAGACTTCTTGTATTTATTCTGGAGGGGATAAACTGCATCTCTTCAAATCGGCCGCCTTAGTTTTCTATGAAATAAAACAAAGACAGTAATGCTTTTATCTTGCAGAGGCTTGAGAAGACTTGGGGAGCCAGTAATGCCCTGGAATGGACTGTACCTCCACAGCTGCGGCTGCAGTTCATTAGAATCGCAGGTGTGCTGGAAGGGCAGCCTATAGCCCTTCGAGCTCCACGTCCTCTAAGTTCAGATGATATTAGTCATTCGTTTGTTCTGGAGGGCGCCTGAGACTACTAGAATGAGAGCCAGTAACAAAGCATTTATTTCTGCTTGTAGATTATATACAGTGTTTGTCAACGTACGTGAGATTACTGGTTTTGTAAGTTTAGCCTTGCCCGTTTTTCCAGAGATGAAAACTGTAGCTCTCAGGTGCTGCCCACCATCCAATATGCCCTGACGGTCCTTTAGTACGCTCCCACCTGAAACTGCTTTGCAGATAAATGTGTCTTTGTGTTAAATTCTTCCATTACAGCTGTCTCCTGTTATTTCTGCACTAGCCAAGGATTAGAACAAAAGCCAAGTCTCTGTTTAGTGTCGGACCTTGGAAAATCTGTTTCTGTAAATAATTGATATTAAAGTTACTACAGTTCTTACGTGCTCTGTAGAATGTGTTACGCTTGGCCTTGCCTAACTGAACCAAATCTAAAATGAAGCGGGGTTTTTTTTTATTTTGTTGTGCAGTGTCAAAAAAACACGGCAAGCTCATCACCTTCCTTCGTACATTCATGAAGTCGCGCCCAACGAAACAGAAACTGAAACAGCGGGGGATCCTGAAGGAAAGGGTGTTTGGCTGTGACCTGGGAGAGCATCTTCTCAACTCGGGCCATGACGGTAAGAAACAATTCATTCTTGAGTTCTTCCTCTGTTGGGAATCTTACTTCAGGCTGACCGTATCTAGCAAAGGGCTAGTTGGTACTAGCGGAGAAATGTGTAACAAAAATCGATGGCTGAAAGGTAAATTGAGGCTAACGCTAGTAAGAAGCAAGCATCGTGGTTCAATGTGGGAGCACTGAAGATGGATGGAACTACTGAAGATGAGTTCTCAACTTCTTGAAGTCTTCAATAAATATTAAATATTTTTTTGCAGGGCAATAAACTCTATTTATGTGTCAGTGTCAAGGAATAATTAACTGGTATGTTAAATGCATACATTTCTCTGACTCGGTGCCTTTGTATGATTCTAGCACAATTTGCAGTGTAAATTCTTCATCTGCCTTTTCCCTCGATTTCACAAAATTTACAGGAATTAACTGGATATTATGTTTCATCATAGCTTGCTTTTCTCGCAGTTTGTCACGGTGAGTTTTCTGTAGCTCTGCTCTGTCCCTTCCGCCTTCCCATCAGCAGTTTAAGGAGGCAGCAGAGAAGGGCTGTCCGTTCCAAGAAAAAATTACACAATTGTCACTACTCTTCCTCGGATGAACTTTCATGTCGCGTGCTCTTTCCTACCCTCTCACTGTGACATCTCCAATCGAGGCTGTGAAATCGGGGAGGTACCTGCGTTGCCGAGTAGCAAGCAGAGGACTCGAATTCTTTCGCAGTTCACTAGCCAAGGTCATTCCCATAAACGGCCCATGCTGAGGGTGATTTAGAAAAGCAGCATGGAGCAGCCGTGGGTTGCAGCCAGTTTGCCCAGGAGCTAAAGCCGTCAGGAAATTAGCGATGGGTGTAGCATCACTGTCTGGCTATGTCAGCTTGTTGATCTGTTCCATATTTTTGCTCCTTGCCTAGTGCGGTAAGATTTTGCCGTAGACCTCTTATGCCAAAGTTGTTAATCTGATGTCTCCCAGCTTTTGCGTGCAGGCTGAAGGAGGAGTGAAGTGACGTGTGGGGTAGGAAAGGAGTTTCTCTGTTAAACTTGTTTCCATTGGTACTTTAGACGCCTTGTTCACATGAGTGCCTTTTGGAAACGGGATGCTAAAGGGTGGGGAGCTGTTTTGTGCACTTTTTCCAGCTGATTCAGTTGGTAACAGCAACGTGCGCTCCCTTGCCTGACATGAAGTGTTTTACTACCAGTTGGTGAATAATATGAGCTTGTTCTTATGGAATCAGGACTGTGGCAAGGCTCATTGGCTTGTTAATTGGAACCAGTAGAGATCTTTATTGCTGGGGCTTGAAAAGCATCAGAGAGCCAGAAACTGGATGATTTGGAGACAGAAACAGACAGTAACCCATGTAAGAACTACATCAGGAGTAGGTAATTTACACCGCCGGGTAGCTATAGGGCTGGTTTTATATTCCTGCTGTGGGAGCAATCTTGGAGGGCAGGAGACATGCCAGCAGAGTGAGCTCATTAATGGGAAAGAGAATTCTCTTTTAACCCCAGCCCTCCTCCTGTCCATTTTAGTTAGGCACAAGTCAGCAACAATTAAAGCTTTTCCCCGCCCTCTGCGCTGACTTCTTCCCCTGGCTTTAAGGGGTGCGCATTTTATTTAGCAATAAAAGACACATCCTGAGCTGCACTAAACTGTTCTAGCTCCGCTGGAGGCTCCTGTTCAACAGTCTCTAGGAGCTCACTTCTTGCTCTGGTCACTCCCCTCCCGTCACGTGCAACTGAGTGACTGTGACTGAGCTGTGCTAATGAGGTCTCTCCATCTGAGAAGTTACCGGTTGCTTTCACCCTTGATTTAATAACTCCTTCCTAACTTCCTGGAGTGAAGCAGATCCAAACTGAATGTTGCTAACAGGGGCATGTCTCCATTTCACACAGCAGGATTGTTTTTTTTCTGTGTGATTCAGCTCTCTGACCCGTATTCCAAGTGACGTAATCCCCGGGGTTGGTTTTGTGGAGACGTTTCTGGGTTCCTGTGAATCAAGCTCTGTGCATGCACAGCATTTTAAGATTCCCTCATTCCGTAGCATTAACGTTCCTCAGTCTTGGAGCCGACTGCAGTGCTGATCTGCTGAAAGGGGACTGAGATATCACAGGAGACCCTAAGTTGCATTAGATAGAGCAAAGATGCAGCCCTGCTCCTTCACCCCATAACCAGAACATAAACAAGTGTTTTTATAGGAGCACGGAGTACTGTAGCTGAAGTCTGTGCGTGGTACCTACTGGTAATGCTTTGGGAATACAAGATAAAACATCTCAGTTCAGAAAAACAAAAAAGAACCCAACACACTCATAGATTCATTTAGGTTAATGCTAGTTTTGATGGGTTGCTGTCCATTACCCAAAAGATGTAGCAGGACTGAAGGAGAAGAGGACACCGTCCACAGCGTTTGAAATGAATTGCAAGGCATTCATGTGCTCCTCAGAAATGCAATGTTGAACCAAACTGGAGTTATGTTAAGAATTTTATTAATGGTCAGCTTTGGGAAGCTGACAAAGCCTAAATTCTCAAGAATTCGCTGTGAAACAACACGAGCCGTCCCAATTTTGCAGTCGTGAACACCTGAAACTTTGCTTGTCTTTTAGGTAGGAAATGGTGAGAGAGGAGCAGACCGAGAGAACAAAAGGGATCAGGAAGGACAAAAACTGGAATAGGTCTAACGTTTTTTTTTACCGAACGCTATGTTGAGGCAGCTGGCTGGGATTGCTTAGCTAGGAGAGTGTATTTGCGATCGTGTGTCTGTATACCCAGAAGGGAATTTACAAACACAGAGGAAATGTTTCACCTGCTGCGGTATGTCGTCTTTCTGTGGGCTCAGCAAGTACTCACTCTCATTCTGCATCCACTGTACCTCTTTCAAAAGGAGGATAAATTGGCATGAGATGCATAGGAGGAAAGCGATACAGAAATGTGACCCGTCTTACTGTTACGGAGCAAGAGCCCAGGTGATGCCATCCTGCAAAGCCCCGTACACTCGCTTCACGTTCAGCATGCGCCGAGTTCTGAACTAGCAACGCGTTTGTCTTCGTTCACCCGAGGTTTTGAGATTAGCCTTGCGCTGAGGCAGAGCGCACTCTCTCTCCTGAAAGGTTCCTCTCAGGCTGGCGTGACAGAACTTGCGTCTGCTAAACCTCAGGGTGTAATCTGTCTGTTTACTGGAGTTTCTCCTTAGGGGAGGGTGTCTGGGTAAGATGGGATGAGTGGAGCAAGCAGGCTGGTGTTGCTACTGCCTTTTCATTTTTGATGAGGATGCAGTTTGTCGTTCTTTTAATTGACGTGTATGGATCTGAGAAGTAACACTATAAGCAGGTATAGGGAGGGAGGTAATACGTTTGCAGTAACAGCGGTAGGGGTGAGTACTGTGCCTTAAAATCTTTCTGTAGGCCTGGTGATTCATGTTGGGGACTGTGGTGATTATTGGGCTGGCAACTAGAGGCGGGCAGTGTCCTGGGTTTTTGTGTTGGTTTTTTTAATTCCAGTTGGTAGCGTGCTGACACTTTGAGCTCTCCAAACAATGATGGAGCCCTTCTGCGGTAGGAGTTATACCTCCGCGTGGTGTGAAACAGTCCTTTCCCAAAGGCCCTTGTAGACAAGATAGCAGTGAGGGGAAGGAAGCTTCCTTGTCCGGTTTCCTAAATGAGGATCTGAGTCATGGGCACATCACAGGATTATTTTTCAAAATCATCTGTGTTCCAAGCTGCCTTGGAAAATGGGAATTAGGAGCCACGGTGCTCCTGGTCACTGGGCTGGCGTGTACATAGGTGTGCTGCTTCCAGAGAAAGTAACAGCGGTCTGTCCTTTTGGTTCCTCTTCTCTGTCACATGTCGGTACTGAATTATGGGCTGGGACCTGTAGGAGTAAAACCAGTTTTGCTGGGAGGGATTTTTGACTTCTCTGTTGGGTCTAAATCTAGCAAAGGTTGTGGTGATGCTCCCTTCGGGTATGTTGGTTTGCACAATATTTCTCCAGTCGGCCCTAGTCGCCCAATGGAGCCTGCCCTAAGAGGCCCATCTCCATTTAATTTTAGTGCGTTATTCATGTGTTGGCTCCTTCTGGGTTTCAAATACTTCCCCTGCCAATGAAGCGTCATTTGGAAGCAGACCAAGCTTAGCAGGGAGTAGCTGTTTCTTCATCGCCCTGAGAGATGTTCCCAGTTGGTTTGGTGCTGTTGACACCTGCCGTGCTAGTTTGTTTTATGGAGCTGAGAGATGCAGCAAATTCAGCATAATCCCCAACTCGTGAGGAGGCCTTGTTCCCTTTGTAGGTAGAGCAACTTTTTTCCCCCATAATTTTTTTCTCCCAAAGGAAACTGAATAGAACTTAAATTTAGCTTGACCCCAATTAGAAAGAATTGTGCTTGCAGAGGATGTGTTTGTTTAGTGTGGGAGCTGGCTAAATAAATGCTGCATTGCAGCATCTGTACCATGTCCTCGTTCGTGCCTCAGAATATTTCGAAACGGAGCTCTCCACAGCTTCTGAATTTATGACACGTGTAGGAGTCCGCAGTAGTGCGGTTAGCAGAAACTTTGTGCCTGGCTGCACGGAGAGGCCAGCGGATTGGAAAGCCGGGCAGGTTCTTGGCAGAGCGTGTGGCCACGGTTACGGCTTTACGCAAGGGAGTGAGGCGGGCCGGACGGAGCCGCAATGCGGACGGGGAGGCTAGGCAGTCGCAGACTTGGTGTTGCCGTTGCGGCGGTGCCGTTTCTCTCTGGCTCCGGGAGCTCACCGACCGGTCGGGGCCGGTTAGCCGCCGCTCAGCCGGGTCTCTCGCGTGGTCAGCGCGCCAGAGAAAAGCCACACTGCTCTTCTGGGAATAAATGAGTTGTGAGCTGCAGCAGATGAGGAATTACCTTACAATATACTTTATGTTGAAATGCTGCTGGGAATAATGTGCTGGAGTTTCTTGGACTACAGAGGATGGGGTATAAAATACTGGCGGCTCTTCTTCCGTGCTGAAAATGTTCCTGTTGCCTGGCACTTGATAAAGATGATCATTTC